TCACTGGCACTGTCGCAGGCCATTGCCATTTAGTACCCTTCCTCATTCCTGCAGTGCCCCTCACAGCCGCACGGTGGCACCATCGGAGCCTGACAGCCCCTCTCACCTGCCCCTCAGCTGCTCCTGCCGCAGGAGGCCGGGGCCTGGGGTTGTGTCACCCAGTGGACACCCCTCCCCCACGGTGACTTTGGACAAGGTTTGGGTGCCCTTCCCTGCCCCGCCCTGGGCTGGGCTGGACCCACCTCGGTCCCCCCAGAGGTCTCCCTAACTTGGAACCCAGGTGTGGGGAGCCTCGCCGCTCTCCGTCCCAGAAGTCGCTGGCTTCCTCCACAAATGCACTCTCCTGCCCCGCAGGGACCAGGACACAGGGTGTCTGCACCCCCGGCCCTGAGCAGCCCGCCCAGGGTTGTGACCCTCGCCACGAGTGCGGGGTGGGAGTGGCGCTGCTGGTTCTGTGTGTTTTTCAATTTCTGCCTTACCAGGGCCCCTTTAGTCTCTGCGTCCCCACAGCCCCTGACACATGAAGACCCCTGTGGGTCTTCAAAGGAGCAGGCCAGTGCTGCTGGGGCTGTGAGAGGGTCCCAGGGGAGTCCCGCCCTGACGCGTCACCCAGGTGGGCAGGGGGCTCCGTGAGACAGGGCAGGTGGCCCGGCTCAGCGTGGGTCAGTGGGAAAGAGCAGGCCCACGACCCTCCCTCCCGTGCTGGGGTCCCGGGGTGCAGGGTGCTGCACTCACCCGTCGGGACCACCATCTGCACCTGCCAGCTCCTGCTGTCCCAACTCCGGTCCCCAGCTGAGCCCCAACCTTGGAGCCCAGAGCACCCCAGCATTTTTTCATCCCTCAGATACCAACTGAGCCCCGCTCCCAGCCAGGTGCCCTTCTAGGTGCTGTGAACCAGGGTGATGAGGCCAACCCAGGCCCTCCCAAGGAGCCAACCCCACCGGTGGGTTCTCAGGCAGCTGCTCAAGCAGGAAGGGGCAACAGGGGTGGCGGGTCCGCCGAGGGCTGGGAGGGGGCCAGTGCCCCTCGGGATCTGGGCTCTGTGGGCCCCTGACCTTCCCTAACTCGGATAACTTTGCTGGCGGCCAGGTGTCTAGATTCCCCTCCAGGACTTATGACCCCCGATGGTCTGGGAGGAGCAATGGAAGGGTCACGCCCAGGTGCAGGGGTGTGGCCTGCAGATGAGGCCTGGAGCCCCCCATGCCCTCCCTGCAGCTGGAGACTGTCCATGTGGCTGGTCCTTCTGGGTGGAGTATGGGCCTGTGGGGTGGGCACTGGCTCCACCCCTCCCACCACCTGAGAGCTGGAGTCGTGTTCTGGCCTCAGTTTCCCCACTGCAGCATGGGGTAGGACGAGGCAATCTCTGGGCCCACCTTCCCAGGATCTGTGGGCCAAGATCCAGAATGGGGAGGCGGACGAGGGGAGAGAGCCCAGCAGCAGCCCAGGAACCCCCACCCCCACCCCCGAGCCCCCCGGCAAATGCAAAGGTACAGGCCTGGGGCCCCTGGGTCCACAGGAGGATCCTGAGTCAAGTGGGAGGTGGGGGAGGTAGGGAGGTGGTTTGCCTCCAGCTGAGATTCCAGTAGCTCCCATGGGGGGTCTCAGCCTGTGCCAGGTCTCCCTCCTGCCCTGTTCAGCTGCCCACAGCTCCAGAGCAACACTCAGCCCAGACACAGCCCCAAACTCCACCCCCACGGGGCTGCAGCCCAGGCTCTGGGGCCCAGGAGCACCTGGATTACCAGCCCCCCCATCATTTTCATAGATGGAGACATGAGATTCAGCAGGGCAGGTGACACGTCCAGGGTCAGCACATTGGCATAGCAGGAACCCCAGCCCAGTTCTTTCAGAGGGGAGTCCTGCTCTGATCCTGGGGAGGACGAAGTACCAGGGAGCCCACGTTCCTCCAAGGTGAGGCTGTCCCCTCCACATAGCCACGCGGGGGTGGAGCAGCAGTGATGACCTGCGGGCTGTCCCCACTGGGTCTCACACACAGACCCCTTCATTCCAGGATCTGGCTCCAGACAGGGACTGTGACCTCCCTGGGTCTTTAGTGCAGGTTGAGCTGAGGAGGACACCCCAAGCAGAAAGAAGGGACATGGCTGGGCTCAGCTGTGGGTCTGGGGTCTTTTGGGAAACTGATGTCCTGCCCTGGTGTCCCCTCCAACCTGCTGGGGCTCCCCACAAACCCTTCTGCAAGTCTCTATTTGGACTGCTGGTCACAGCAGGGCGCTGCCCCCCGCAGATCCCTGGGCTGGGAAACAGGCTGTCCAGGAAGGACCCACCAGGAGGGGCAGGGGGCGACCTGCCTGGACTGCAGTGCCACAGGTGGCAGCACGGAATGTCTGGGTGGGACCTGGGGGGAGTGGGGACACAGGGCTGGGGAGCAGGTGGCTGAGACCTTGGGTCAGGACTCGAGTCCGCCTGGGAAGGAGGCCGTGTGCAGTGGGGTCTGAAGCCAGCAGCCCCCTCCTCTCAGCTCTCTCCACCTCCCCTACGGGCCCCCGCCCCGCCCCCTCCAGTTGTTTGGGGGCGCTGCCCTCACACCCCACAGTCCCCCCCGGGGAGGGGCCAGTAGGCAGGAGGGGGGAGGGACAGGCCACCAGGGTGCACACCGCCTCTGCACCCCCGCCCGCGTCCCCCTCCGGCTCCAGCTGGGCCGCGGCCCATCGCAGGCACCCGGCCACAGCTGGAACCCATTACGCCCCAGCGCCTCTCGGGACGTCTCGGCTAATAAGTGACCCTCTGTAAATGTTAGGAATGAGTCAAGTTTATGCAGCGCTGCTGCTTTCCCGTTAGCGGGTGGCGCCACCGATGCCCGGGGGACCGCAGGGGGCGGGCGCTGCCGTGGCGGGAGGCCGGGGGCAGAGTCCTTCCCGGCCTAGCAGGGAGCCCGCCCCAAGCTGAGTCGGGCTCGACTGTCTCTGATCAAGGGGTCTGGGTTCTTCTTGCCCCCCAACTGAACCTCAGTTTCCCCTTGTGTTTTCCCCAAAATACCAGGTTCAGGGTCGGCAGTGGCTGAGTCTGAGTCCCCTCCAGCCCATCTCCTCTCCTAAGACAGGAGAGGCCGCTGGTGGTCTTGACACCGGGGTCCTCGCTTGGAGGGGGGGTAACAGGCACATCTTCCCCTCCCCCCACCCCAGCTTCTGCTCCAGAGCAAGGCAGTTCACCTCGCACCCCTCTGGGGGAAATGTGGGGCGAAGGCACCGCCCCAAGACCTCCCAGGCAACGGAAACACAAACCCCACAGGTGGGAAGGGAGGCCCCTGCCTGAAGGAGGACAGGTTAACCCAGGACCTGGGCTCAGGCTCCCCGGCGAGGGCTGCACCTGGCTGGCAGTGCTGTTGGGGATCAGAAAGGGGCCTCTCGGTGTCGTGCGGAACCCGGTGCCTCTGCAGTCTGCTGCAGCCCAGGAGAGGGGCCAGCAGTTCAGGGGTCCAGGTGGAGGAGGAGGCCTGTGTCCAGGGAGCACCGGGGATGGGCAGGACACACAACATGGCTGGGTCAGCGGGAGGGACCGGTGACAATGGCAGGGGCGAGGTGCACCCAGGAAGCCTCCCACCCATCAGAGCCAGGGCCAGTCTCAACACAGACAGCATCTTCAGGGAGGGCAGGGGGAAGATGGGAGGTAGGACCCTGGGCGGGGAGGAGGACTTGGGGAGTCACAAGATGGGGAGCACGTTGTGGCTCTGGGGGCTGCAGGGAGAGGGGCCTCCAGTAGTGGCCTGGGAGCCAGAGGGGGAGTGTCTGGGGCTGTGGGAGGAGGGGACGGGAGGACTCTGGTTTGCTGCCCCTTTGGGAGTGGACATTATCTCTCAGGATGCCCTGGCAAGCACCCAGTCACCCTTCAGTATTTAATCCACTGCCTTAAATTTGGAAATCCTTCATGCAGCAGGGCAGTGGGCAGTGTGGACTGTCCTTATGCCCGCGATCCTGTCTTGCCTGGCCCTCTCGTGTCTGGAAGTTTCCTGCTAGTTTGGAATGGACCAGCCTCATGTCTGGCATTCATGGGACCCTAAACATCTTCCCCATAGTCAGTGCAGGGCACAGGCTCTAGAGGCCCAGCCAGGCCGACCCCCAGCTGTGCCCCTCCCGGCAAATTGCCACTTAGAGCCCAAGACCAATCTCCAGCCACCCAGGACCCCCGAATTTCCTGTTCACTTCAGGCCTCCTGGGGTCTCTTCCCTGCAGCTCAGCTGCTCAGTCCCCTCCCAGGAAGGAAGGCATCCTCAGTGTCCTCCCACCACCCCTGTCACGGCAGCCCTCCAAGGGGCGCCCAAGAGAGACACATCCCAGACTTACTCCCAGAACCCAGCAGGAGCGGGAGGAGAGGTCTCTGCCGACCCTGCTTGTCCTCAGATCCCCAGATGTGCAGCCCAGGCCCGTGCATGCCCCTCCCGATGCACAGGGCCTTCTTCAGCGGGGTGGGCAACTGCAGCAGTGAAGGACGGTTGAGCCTCGGTCCTTCCAGCTGTCACCAGCACCTCCCCCACACCAGGTGCTGGGACCACTGGGTGGGGCTCAGGGCCCAGCTCCCCACCTTACTCTGCAAACAAGCTGTGGGCTACCTGCTCCAGGTGGGCAGGGAGGTTTGGGTTTCCTCACCGCAGGCCAGAGGTAAAGTCCCTGCCTCCCAGCATCCCTAGAGGAAGGCCAAGGTCACTCAGCCCAGCAGTCAGCCCCGCCCCGCACAGAGATGGAGCAGGGTCACAGGTGGGCCCGGTGCTGACCTCGGCTGGGTGTTCTCCCACATGCGTCCCTTCCCTCCATTTCCTCATGGTCACTCGCAGCAGTGCCAGGGGATGGGAGCGATCCCACTTTATGGGTGGGGAAACCAAGGCACAAGCCTCGGGTGATCCACCCAGCCTCACTGGGTCCTCTCCAGGGCACTTTGCAGCCCTGGGGTAACCCTGCAGTAGCTCCCACCAACTCCAGCGGGCTCAGGTGGGGTGCCTGGCAGCTGTCCAGGGGGTGCCAGTCCCAGGTGTCTTGGGTGTCTTTCAGAGGCTGGAGGACACCATCCTGAGTCCCACAGCCAGCAGAGAAGACCGGGCACTGACTGTGCGTGGGGAAGGCCGGCAGGCCTCGCCCACCCCTGTGCCTGCCCGCATTCGGGAGATCGTGACCGGCAGCCTGGGCGAGGACCCACCCCAAGGTGAAGGGAGGGGGGGTGGCTGGGTCACCAGGGGGCTGCAGGGCAGTCGACCGAGCCCCGCTGCAGAGAGCACCCCCCGGCCCTGAGCGTGGCCTCCATCCCCCACCCCGCAGGCCCCCAAGCACCGTCTCCTCCTCGGTGTGCTTTGCAGCTGAGGCACTGGCTCTGAGGGCTCTGTCCTGGCACCCAGGCCACACGGCAGTCAGGCCATCAGGCCCAGTGTGTGCTCGTGTGTCCCCTGCGCATGGGTCCCAGTCCCCTTTCTGTAGTGAAGGTCTGTCAGCCTTCTGAAGGGACCGTAACTCAGCGTGTACGTGTAGGGAGGGAACCCCGCTGTGCACTTAGAAAAGCGAGGTTCCATTTCACGGAAGCCACCGGTCTCTCTGCTCCTCAGATGGGGTGGGGACCTGCACGCTCTGCTTGATTGGTGTGGGGGTTGGTCTGCACATGGGTCTGTATTTGGGTTAAAGATGTCGACAAAAGGCAGGAGCTGGTGAGATGCCCATTAACGAGGACTCACCTCCCCACCTCCGGGTCCTCAGGTCAGAGCTGGGACCCCTCCCAGGAGACTGGGGCAGGCTCAGCAGGGGAAACCCAGGAGCCAGCCCAGGGTTCCCCCTCGGAGGTGGGTGCGTGCTGAGGTGGGGTGGGGCCCCAATCTGGCTCCCAGGCTGACCCTGGGCACGGTGCCTGCAGGGGTGCGGGAGCCAGCAGCCGCCACGGCCCGCGTGCAGGAGGAGAACCAGCTCCTGCAGGAGGAGCTGTCCCGGCTGCAGGACCTGCTGGCCCAGGCGGGCGCTGATCGGGACGAGGTGGCCAGCAGGTACCACGTGCTCAGCGAGCAGGTGAGTGTGTGGGGCTGGTGCGTGGCAGGCCAGTGGGCAGCAGCCTGGCCCTCGGTGGGTGTTGTACCTGTGGGGACCAGGAAAGAGTGTGTCAGCCCACAGTTTGGATGTGGACAAGAGGGGTGGGGAAACAGGCCAGGGTGGGGGCAGAGCAGGACAGGGGCCCAGGCCTTCGTCTGCCCCAAGGAGTCCCCTAGGTCTCACAGCCAGGCTCAGGCTCCGACTTGTCCCCCACCTCCCTGGTACTCCTGTGGGGTGGCCTGGTCAGTCCTGACCCATTGTCTCCCATGCTGAGCCCAGTGTCAGTGCAAAGCCAGCACCTTCTGAAGAGAGGAGGAAAACCAGGCAGAAGAGATTGACCCCAAGCCCCTAGACAGAGCCTGTAGAGAAACAGTCCATTCCCAGCCCCCAGCCCCTCCCTGACAACGGAGGCTTGGGGGCGCCTCTCGGGACCCAGAGCACAGGGGAAGAGGGAGAGGCCAGGGGCTGTGAGCTCGAGCGACAGGCTTATTTAGTCATAATAAAGTGTGGGCCTGAGGAGAGCCTCCCTTTGAGCAGATGGGGAAACTGAGGCAGAAAGGTGAAGGAACCATAGTACGGGGAGCTCAGAGCCCTTGCTGTGCCTGGCCCAGCCCCAGCCCACACTGTATTCAGAGCCTACCCTGTGATCTATGTGGTAGGACAGATGACCCACTTTCCAGATGAGGAAACTGAGGCTCAGAGAGGGCTGGTGCTCACTCAGCATCCCCCTCCAGGTCTGCCATGCCCCGTTCTCAACGTCACCCTCCCCCACGCCCAGGAGCTCCTCAGGGCAGGACACGAGGGCCGGCTGCATCCTGATTCTGATCAGGGGCCCGGGGCATCCGGGTGAGCCCCAGCCCCGCCCGCTCTTCCTGTGCGCTCTGGGCTGTGCGGCCAGGCCTCAGGGGTGAGCATCTTCCTAGCACAGGGTGGGGAGATGTTGGGAACAGGCCGGTGGGAATAGAAGCCACAGAAATCCTGCCGACAGATCAGTAACCCGAGTGAGTCAGATCTGAACTCGCAGACTCGCAGCTCAGCACACGCGCTGGCTCCTGCAGGCATCTCAGCACAGGCGCTCCATGTGGGTGCCAGGAGGGGCCAGACCTGCCCCAAGTTACTCCCAGGCAGGCAGGCGGGTGGGGCGGCAGGCTTGGTGACCAGCATGCCTGGTTGTGGGCGTCTCTCCCCCGCCTCCTGCTCTGCGGGGTCCCCCCAACCCCTCCCGTCCCACCCTGCGGGTGGCTGAGGGGGCTGCTCAGCTGCCCCAGGCCTCCTGCTCCTCCCTAACCACTGGGCCTTCCTTCACCCTGACTTCCTTCACCCCGGGTCAGGTCTTGGTATGGCCCTGGATGGAAGACTCTGGACGTGGCCTCCTCTGCTCAGCCTCGGGCCGCTGGGACTGACTCCCCCTCCCCAGACACCCTGGGGCTCCGCTTTGGGGGGTGGGTGTGCCCCGTCCCCTGCTGGATGAGGGGCCAAGAGGGAGGTGGGAGTGCAGGCAGGAGGCCCAGGCTGGAAGGGGGACCCCACGCTCACTCACTCTCAAGAGCGTGTGGCCCAGAGATTAATCTGCAACTCTCCACCCTGAGCTGTGTGACAGAACAGAGCCCTGAGGCCTCCTCTCCTACCCTGACAGCTGGGCAGTCTCAGCAGCTGGGGCAGTGGGGACTCAGTTTACCTTCCTGTAAGGGGCTCCCGAGCCCTCCCACCCACTGGGTCCACCACACTCACGCTGGAATCACAGGCATGTGTGGTCAGCCCAGCTCACCTCCTGCCACCCCCACGCTGGCCACACGCACTTGGGCCAGGGGCAAGGTGTGGACAGACGCCCGTCTGGCCCTCGGTGCAGAGGGGCCTGAGCCTCACCAGACTCAACCCTGACCCTGCTATGGGGCCACGGGGAGCCCTCTTTTCCACCCCAGGGTGGGCTTTGTGCCAAAGATGCCCCTGCTCCTGGCCAGCGGGTTCAGGAGCAGCCAGACCAGGTGGACTAACACTCCTGTCCAGCTACAGGCCCAGCTGGAGACCACCGAGGCTCGGCTGCGGAGGTCGGAGCTGGAGCACAGCACAGACCTGGAGGAGGCCCTCGGCTGTCTGGAGGCCGCGGAGCAGCGGTGAGGGGGTGGGCAGTCAGGGCTGCGGGAAGTGCGGCTGTCCCCTGAGAGGCAGCAGACCCCACCCAGCCTTGGACTATTGGCCACCGCTTCCCAAAGTGCCTCTAAGTTGAATTTGCCTGTGGGAGTCATTGCAGGCTTTGGTGGGCAGGGGAGGGGCCTAAAGAGGGGGAGCTGGGGGCGAGGACCTACTCGCTGTGGCCTCAAGCAGAGCTGGGTGCACGCTGCTCACCCTCTCGCTCGCAGCGGGACCCTGGTTTCCCACCCCTTGGGGCCAGGGCTGAGTGGAAAAACAAGGGCAAGGCCAGTCGCGACAGTCCAGGTGCCCACCCGACCAGGCTCTGCTGTGCACGAGGCATGGTTATCATGCGCCACCCCATTTCACAAGCCAGGAGGTGGCTCGGAGCAGAGGGGCTGCCGCGAGCAGCGGTGAATGAGGGGGCTCGTGCCCGGTCTCCCTGCCCGTGGCATCACCCCCGCCATGTCAGCTACCCACCGTGCTACCCGCCATGTCAGCACCGCTCACGAGTGAAGGAGAGAGAGAGAGGGACACACCCCCACCTGTAACTGAGCAGCACCACCGCTAGGACACTGGCGGCGACTGGGCTGCCACTCACGCCTTGACTCGGCATCTGGGTCTCCCCACCCCACATGCCCACAGCCTAGAGATGGTGCTGACTGAGGGGGTTCTGCCCACCTAGGGAAGTGGAGGTTTGCGGGCTGTGGGCAGCCTCACCAGGCACAGATGCCATCATGGGGATCCTTGGTCCTGTTCTCCCGAGTGTGCCACCCCAGGACCCTGACACCTGCCGAGGCTGGTGCTCAGGCCATTACTGCAGGCAGGGCCAACCCCAGCTGTCCCTGGCCCCCAGTTGGCCCAGCCAGCCCTGGGGTGCCCTTTTCCCGCTCTCCTTCACACCCCAGCCCTGACTGCCAGGTGCTTTTGGCTTTGAGCCTCTCTGACTTCATGGTCAGGGGCTCTTCTGTTCATCGTTGGCAAGTGTGTGCCACACTCCGGCTCTCCCAGTAGTCACCCCAGCCCCCTAGCAGTAGCCCCAGCATCCCCAACTCTAATCCAGCCCCCAGCAGTAACCCAGCACCCCAGTTCCCCCGGCCCCATGACCCATCTCCTGGGAGGAAAGGGCCCTCTGCAGGGCAGATGGGAGGGGCTGAGTCCCTGGGGCGGGTGACCCATTTGTGGGATCCATCCCATACTTGGCTCATCCTCAGGGAATCTGGAAAAGGAAGACAGGTCCTGAGAAGCACTTTGCAAACCGGTTTTGAGGGGGTAAAACAACCCAGGCAGAGGCCGATGCCTGAGGAGCAAAGAGGAGCAGAGAATGACCCCCGTGTGGGGCTCATTAGAAGGAGGTCCACCAGCTCCACGGGTTTGGGGTCCGTCACCACAGCGCAAGCAGACCTGCTCCCGTAGTTCAGGAGAGGCTGCTTCCGCCCTGCCAGGGCTCGCCTGACTCCTCTCCCCACCCCCTCTGGTGTTCCTGCATGTCTCGCGGGTGGAGGAGTGGGCCAGGGTTATGGGGGCAGAGCCAGGAGAGCATGGGGGGGAGGGAGGGCAGGGGTCCCAGGAAGGAAGGAGGGTGCAGAGGTGGCACCTGGGAGAGCCACCCTGGTGGGGCCCACTGCAGGAGGTTGGCACTGCTCAGGGGCAGAGGACTTCAGGGCTCCATTTCCGCCTCTGACACAGGGGTCACCTGGGACTCTGAGTGCCTCCCTAAGGAGAGGCCACCCACCCATGACCACACCACTGTGGCTTCTGTCCCTCCAGGAGCATTGGCTTCTCCCAGGTGAACACGCTGCTGCGGGAGCAGCTGGAGCACATGCAGAAGGCCAACGACACACTGGCCCAGGAGCTGGCCAGGATGGCGGGCAGCATGCTCCTCCTGCAGGGCAAGCTGGAGCTGCGTGAGGCACAGCACTGGGCTGAGAGAGAGGTGCTGCCCCATCCTCACCCACCCAGCAGCCGCTGCCTGTTTGGATGCCTGGGGCTGGTGGTGGTGGGAGGGACCAGAGGGGATGTGCTGACCCCTCATGTGGGACTTCCGGCATGAGACATGTGAGACACATCACATCCCACACCACTGCCTGATCCACACGCTCCTATGGCCGGGTGGTCACATGGTAGCCACAGGCGTGAGAACTGATGCTCTGGAAGGAGACAGTCCCCTGAGTTCATGTGGCATTTGTTTACCAAGGGTCTTTACGTCCCCCTAGCTTGAAACATATTCTCACTGTTGATAGTTGTTTTCTCTCAGCTCCTTGAAGTCTCTCTTTCTCTGTCTCCTGGCTTCCCTGTAGCTGTTGAGAGGTCAGCTTCCCATGTCCTTGACTCTGACTGCTCCTTGTAAAGGTCGTTTGTCCTCTCGCTCTGGCTGCATTTAAGATCTCTGCTTTGACTTTGGTGTTCTGCAGCTTTACTGTGATGGGTCTTTTTGTCTATCCTGCTTAGGCTTCATCAAGCTTCTGTGTCTTTCATTATATATATATATATATTTTTTTGTCTTTTTCCGTGTCCGGCAACGGATCGCAACCCTCAGTGTCGCGCCCGTACCGGACCAGGACTGGCAACGGGATCGCAACCCTCAGTGTTGCTCCCGCACCTCGCTCAGCCAGTGAGCGGGAACCGGTCTGTATGTGGGATCCAAACCCTTGGCGGGAGCGCCACCAGGCCGGCCCTGTGTCTTTCATTATTTTGGAAAGTAGCCACCGTTTCTTTACACGTTGCCTGTGCTCAGTGTCTCTCTCCTGCAGATGTAAGCTCGTCATCTCACGCCATCTGCCACGCTCTCAACTGTCCATAGTTTCTTTTGTTTTATCACCCTGTTCTATACTTTAGATAATTTTTTCAAATCTACCTTCCTGTTCATCAATTTTCTCTTCTGATGTCTAATCTCTGTTAAATCTGCCTACTCAGCTTAAATTTCACATCTAAGAGTTCTGTTTGATTATTTGCAACATATCTTACTCAACTCATCCTTTCAAACCTCTCACATACTTGTTGGCGTATGTTAAAAGCAGTCATTTTGTAGTCTGTGTCTGATATTCAATGATCTGAAGTTTCTCAAAGTCTGATTCTATTGACTCTGCTGGCTCCTGATCACAGTTCTTTGTTTCCTTGTGTCTTTGGCGATTTTTTATTTTTTAACTGTGAGCTGCTTGTTTTCTAAAACTTCTAAAACTTTGTGAGCATTCCCTGAAAACTGGAGTGAATGTAGTATTTTCTAGAAGGATTTTCACTTCCTTCTGAGGGGCGCCTGGGGCTGTAACAGTCTTTGGGGCCACATTTGAAGTTAATTTCCAGCTTCATTCTTTTGAGACCACCCAACTTCTGTGGATTCAGGCTCCAAACTGTGTGGAATCTGACTTGTGGTTCCAAATCTACGGGGAAGATTTCTTTCCTCTATTCAACTCCAACATTCTAGACAAGCAGTTTTCCTTACAGTCTCCTGCAGGGTGCGTGCGTGTGTGTGTGTGTGTGCAACTGTGTGGAGTGTGTGCGTGTGTGCATGTGCAAATGTGAGTATGTGTGTATGTACAGGTGTGTATATGCATAAGTGTGGTGTGTGTGTATATATGTGTGAATGTGTGTGGTGTGTGTGATTGTGGTTTGTGTATGTGAGTGTACTCTGTGTATGCAGATGTAGTGTGAGTGTGGTGTGTGTATGAGTATGGTGTATATGGGTCAATGTGTGGGGGTATGTGTGAGTATGGTGTGTGTGTATGTGTGTGTAATTGTGATCTGTGTATGTGTGTGTGAGGTGCATGAATGTGTGTGGGTGTGCAAGTGTGGTGTGTCTGTGTTTTAGTCCGTTTTGTGTTGCTATAACAGAAACACCTGAGACTGGGTAACTTACAAAGGAAAGGTTTATTTGGCTTACGATTCTGGGACAGCTGCACCTGGCACAGGCCTCAGGCTGCTTCTGCTCATGGAAGAAAGTGGCAGGCAGCCGGCAGGTACAAGCAGATCACATGGTAAGAGGAAGCAAGAGAGAGAAGTTGCAGGGTCTTTTAAACAACCAGCTCTTGCAGGAACTAATAGAGGAGAACTCACTCATTAATCCCCCCTCCCCCAGGGAGAGCATTAATCCATTCATGAGGGATCCGCCACCATGACTCAATCAGTTCCCAACACTGTCACATTGGGGATCAAATTTCCACATGAGTTTTGGAGGGGCAACACACCCAAACTCCATCAGTCTGTAATCGTGGTGTGTATGTGAGTATGGTGTGTGTGGTGTGTGTAGGCATGTGTGTAATGGTGGTGTGTGCATGTGAGTGACACACCCCACATACACCCCACATACATTCTCACACACATACATATACACACACCACCCACACTCACACGTACACACACCACCATTACACAAGTGTGCACGCACAGGCATACATACACACACCACATGCATTCACACAGCACAGTCACACACACTCATGCATACACACTCCACTATTAAACACACGTATATAAACTTAGCACACCTCACACATACTCACACATACACATACCACCATTACACATGTACCACACTCACACACACCCCACATGCATTCACACGCACATTCACATATACACACACCACCATCACACACACACCACACACAAACACACCCTGCACACACTCACACACCACACTCACACCACCCACATACGCACAACACACACATACATACACCACAATTACGCACACACCACACTCACACAGACCACACTCACATACACACCACACTCACACACAACAGTCACACACACACACACACCATATACATTCGGCATGTGTGTTTGAGTACGGTGTGTGTGAGTGCAGTGTGTGTGAATGTGTGTGAGGTGTGAGTGTATGTGAGGGGTGCTGTGTATGTATGTGTGTACGTATGTGTGTGTAATGGTGGTGTGTGTGTATGTATGCATATGTAATGGTGGTAAAAGTATGTAAAGTGTGTGTGTGCATGTATATATGTGCGTGATGGTGTATCTGTGAGTGTGGATGTATGTACAGGTGTGTATATGTGTGTAATGATGTGTGTATATGTGTGTGTAATGGTGTGTGTATGTGTGTGACTGTATATGTGAGTTTGTGTAATGTGTGCATGTATGTGTGTATGTGTGTGTGAGTGATGTGTGTGTATATGTGTGTAATGATGTGTGCATGTATGTGTGTATGTGTGAGTGTGTGAGTGATGTGTGAATGTGTATATATGTGTGTAATGATGTGCGCATGTATGTGTGTATGTGTGAGAGTGTGTGAGTGAATGTATGAGCGAGTGTGCATGTGTGTAATGATGTATGCGTGTATGTGTGTGTAATGGAGTGTGTGTAATGATGTGTGCATGTATGTGTGTGTGATGATGTGTTATATGTGTGTAATGATGTGTGCATGTATGTGTGTATGTGTGAGAGTGTGTGAGTGAATGTATGAGCGAGTGTGCATGTGTGTAATGATGTATGCGTGTATGTGTGTGTAGGAGTGAATGTGTGAGTATGTGTATGTGTGTGTAATGATGTGTGCATGTATGTGTGGGAGTGTGGGAGTGAATGTGTGAGTGTGTGTATGTGTGTAATGATGTGTGCATGTATGTGTGTGTGTGTGAGTGTGGGAGTGAATGTCTGAGTGTGTGTATGTGTGTGTAATGATGTGTGCATGTATGTGTGTATGTGTGGGAGTGAATGTGTGAGTGTGTGTATGTGTGTGTAATGATGTCTGCATGTATGTGCGTGTATGTGTGGGAGTGTGGGAGTGAATGTGTGAGTGTGTGTATGTGTGTGTGATGATGTGTGCATGTATGTGTGTGTATGTGTGTGAGTGTGGGAGTGAATGTGTGAGTGTGTGTATGTGTGTGTAATGATGTGTGCATATGTGTGTGAGTGTGTGAGTGTGGGAGTGAATGTGTGAGTGTGTGTATGTGTGTGTAATGATGTGTGCATGTATGTGTGTGAGTGTGTGAGTGTGGGAGTGAATGTGTGAGTGTGTGTATGTGTGTGTAATGATGTGTGCATGTATGTGTGTGAGTGTGTGAGTGTGGGAGTGAATGTGTGAGTGTGTGTATGTGTGTGTAATGATGTGTGCATGTATGTGTGTGAGTGTGTGAGTGTGGGAGTGAATGTGTGAGTGTGTGTATGTGTGTGTAATGATGTGTGCATGTATGTGTGTGAGTGTGTGAGTGTGGGAGTGAATGTGTGAGTGTGTGTATGTGTGTGTAATGATGTGTGCATGTATGTGTGTGAGTGTGTGAGTGTGGGAGTGAATGTGTGAGTGTGTGTATGTGTGTGTAATGATGTGTGCATGTATGTGTGTATGTGTGAGAGTGTGGGAGTGAGTGTGTGCGTGTGTGAATGCGTGGGGGTGTGTGCAGGGGTATCCAGTTCACGCCCTAGTCTGCTCACATCTAGCACACAGCACTGCGCCTGCAGCTCTTGGGCTATCCCCTTCATGTGTGAGGAGCTTCCTCCACACAGCACTTTGGTTGTGCCCTGGACTTTGCTCTCTGTCCCCTGAGTCCCTTTGGTCAAGGACACTGATGTTCAAATTTCTTGGTTTGGCAAGACATTGCCCAGGTCTCTCTCAGTTCCCTGACGTCACCAGTTCCTGGCCTGAGTGTCCTCTCTGCTGTGGCCAGCACAGCCTGGCATCCCAGCAGAAGAGTGAGGTCTGGACTGCGGCGTGTCTACCGGGCAGGCTGGTCCCGTTGCCGGGAACTGCGTCTCAGCCCTGCTCCCTCGGTGACCGCAGTCAGAGAGGAGGGGGCATGGCTGAAACTGCACCCGCCTCTGCTCACGGGCACGAAGTCACCTGCCCTGCGGAGGTCTGCAGCAGTGCCATCGGGTAGGGGGGTGCCCTTATCTGAAAACAGTGCTAAAGAACATCTGTGGGGCTGTGACGGGTGGGGGAAGACAGTGGGTGCTGGGAACCCTCGGGGTCCCAGCAGTCAGCACACAGAAGACAGCCCAGCGCGGACACTGAGATAGGAGCGTGGAGGCTCTGAGAGCCTTCTGGGCATCAGCCTGGAACTGCTGAGCACACACAGCCCCATCTCTTTCCTGCCCCCAGCCCAGCCCACCCCACACGCAGCCCTGCGGTGGCCTCTGGGTCCACCGTCCCAACCCCAATTCCTCCTGCCTTGCCTCAGCAGGAGGCTTCCCCATCTCCCCTGTAAACCGAGGGCTCCTCATGGTGGAGCCTTTTAGCTCCCTCTGTCTTCCCGACACCTTCGAGGTGCCAGGCCCACACCTGGACACCTACAGAGCCCTCGAGTGAGAGCCAAGGCCTGGGGACTGGAGGAGGAAAAAGCCTGTCCTCCCACCCTCTTCCCTCCGCCCTGGAGGCACAGCAGCTGAAGGCCACAGGCGATCACATGCCCCACAGGGAGACCAGGTCCTGGTCCTGGGAGTTCCAATCCCGAGCTGTTGTTAGAGCAGCCGGTGAGCCGCTCCTGATCAGCACACCTGCCCCTTGGTGGGCCATGGACCCCACCACGGCCCCCGACAGACGCAGGAGCTGTGGGGCACCCACCACCACTCACATGGGTGGCCCTGGTAGGAGCCAGGTATGGCCACGTACCCCCAGGGGTAGGAGCGGGGAGCCTAGGGGTCATTTGTCCGTGGGACATGGGAGCTTCAGGACCTGGTATGTGATACAGAGTCCACCTGCAGCCCCTATGGAGCCGGCCCAGCCTGGCAGCTGGGAGAGAGTGGGCTGGGGAAGGTGAACAGGTCCTGGCCTGAGGTGGACGTGGGCCTCTTGCTTACAGACTGGGCAGATGGGCCCAGCGCAGTCCCGGCAGCTCGTCCTCCTATGGAGACAGGCCGTGGCACTCCGGACGCATGTGGCCGAGCTGCGTGCAGCCACTGAGAGGTGAGAGCCAGTGCCCCACCTGCACCAGAGCACGCGCCTGGCCTCCAGTAGGGAGAGCAGAGGTGCACTTGGTGGGGACAGGGTGGACAGTGGGGGGAAGGACTGGTGGAGGGGCCTAGAAATGCAGGGATGAGGAGGCGTGTGTGGGGACACACCACGGGAAGGGGACATCTACCCGGTGGAGCTCCTGGGGTTGCCCAGATTAGCCCTTGAGGTACGTAGTTCCCCGTTTGCATGCTGAGAGACTGATGCTCCGAGGGCCTCGGTCTTGCTCAAAACTCCTACAGCTGGTCCAGCCTGGCCCCAGCCCCGGCTCACCCCTCCCCAGCTGTCCCCCCGGTATTTTCAATGCCATGTGGTGCGGGCTTCTCCTGAGGCTGGCTGGGGAGGAGTCACCCGTGGGGCCTCTCCCAGTGCGGCTTGGAGCCTGGTGGGCCGGTGTCCTGCAAGCAGGTCCCAAGACTCTGCTGTGGGTCCTGCCCTTGCTTCCCAGGGGTCTCGCTGACATGCGAGCAGATGCAGCCAGGACAGCCCGGCGCCTGCGTACGGCCTGCCTGAACCTCGACTCCAACCTGCGGCTGTCGGCCCGCAGCACAGCCGGCGCGCTGCAGCAGCTGCAGTCCAGGGCGGGGGAGACCCTGCAGCTGCGGGGCCGCTGGCACACGGAGCAGGTGGCGCTCCAGGCCAGGTGGGTGCAGAGTCGGGCAGGCACCCCCTTTCCAGTCTGCCGAGCAGCTTGGTCTCCAAGATAGAACCACCTCGCTCGTGTGTGGTTGGGGTCCTGATCTTCACCCAGCACTCTGACACCAGAGCGTTTCGTTGGCTGTCCCATGCCTGCAGCACGTTCCCCGGGGTGGGGGTGGGGGGCCCGAATCTCCTGGACGATCCCTACAGGTGAAAGGTACGATCTCCCTAACTTTGAGTATTCCAGAAAATGTCACAGCCATTGGACTGTTTTCTGCTGGATGGTTCCCAGATGTGGAATTTTAGGTCAAAATGCAGGAACGTGGTGGGAATTTGTCTCAAGTAAACGATTTAAGAATCTGAGGTAGGTGGGGGGGCTGGACCCCCTCCTGCACTGTGCTAATGAGACAAACGCCCCCTCTGGGGGGTCTGTGAGCCTCTCAGTAAGCACAGAAGGCCCCGGACACACAGCCCACACTGGGGCTCGGAAGTCTTGAGGGCAGCTCCAGCAGAAAATGGGGGTGCAGCTCCCCAGTGAAGGACTAACCTGCTGGCCATGGGGCGACTCCACGGAACCTGGCGTCCAGGGCTCACTTGGCCACAGACACCCCACCAGGCTGACGGGCACAAGCCCTCCCTACCCGCGGGGGGCAACCCCAAAGGAACAGGATGTGGGGGCCCAGGAGGGCCCAGTGCAGCCTGTGGGGGCAGCACCCCAGGGCCGGAGCCGAGTACTCTGGGGCCACAGGAAGGGAGACCCAGGTGCCGTGGGGAGCCAGGGACTTTAAAAAGAAGGGGGCTCCCAGGAAGAAAAGAACAGTAACACCAGTCAATGTTAGACCGATGGGGACAGAGGTGTTCTGGGCAGAGGGACCAGCCAGAGCAAAGACCTGGAGGTGAGCACCCCATCTGCTGTGCCACAAGGACGGACGCAGGGCCCTGGGCAGCCACTAGACATGAGGCTGCAGAGCTGAGTGGGGACAGCAGTGAAGGTTCTATAGCAGGAGAGGCCTGGGATCAGACCAGGGACTGAGGCCCGCTCAGACAGAGGTGTAGCCTCGCGTCAGCAGCGAGGTCAACGCCGGCACGTAGGCCGCACCACACAGAGCTGGACAGAGCCACAGCGTCCTCGGGGCGCCCGTGCTCTGGGCTCCACACTGCTCCCCAACACATCGCCCACCAACTTCTCCCCAGACTGTCCGAGCAAACACTGCTGGTGGAGAAGCTCATGGAGCAAAACAAGCAGAAGGACAGAACCATCGCTTCCCTCGGCATGGACGTTCAGAAGCTGGTCGGTGGGGCTGGGGAGCGGGCTGGCTGTGCAGTGGCGGGTGTCTGTCAGCCTCACTGAGGGGTCTCCCTGGCTGCAGGAATCCCGATGCAGCGGAAACCAGCTGCTGGTGGACGACTTGAGGAGCAAATGGACGTTCAGAAGCTGGTCGGTGGGGCTGGGGAGCGGGCTGGCTGTGCAGTGGCAGGTGTCTGTCAGCCTCACTGAGGGGTCTCCCCTGGCTGCAGGAATCCCGATGCAGCGGAAACCAGCTGCTGGTGGACGACTTGAGGAGCAAAGTCGAATCCCTGCAGCGCCTTTTGACCAGCATCACAAAGGTGTGGCCCGTCTTCCGCCATCTGGTGGTAAAGGCAGAGAAGCCCTGCAGGGCCTCACAGGCCCCCGGTCAGTCACAGCTCTGTGCTCTCTCCCCTCCATCCCTCCTCTCTGCACCTTGAAGGTGGCCCAGGCAGACACTGTGTGCCCAGAGCTGGTGTGGAGCAGCAGCTCTGAGGGTAAGGAAGCACAGACCTGCCTGAAGAGCCCCCCGCGGGCCACGTCCCTGCACCAGGGGCTGTCCCCACCATGGGCCCGCTCACCAGATGCCCTGGACCCCGCAATGCAGGCCGTGTGGGCAGCTATTGAGAGGCGGCAGCAGCGGGAACAGGTGGGTGGCAACAGCCCATGGGGCACCAAGGCAGAGATGCACTCTGGTCTCCCACGGGGGCAGAACCATGAAACTCAGCAGACCAGGGACTTGTCCCTGAGCCCCGCAGCCCCGAAGAGGCCTCCGGTCTTACGTGGGCCCTTTCTGAGGGGCTCACGCCCCCCAACCCTCAGCAGGAGCTGCACCTGCAGCTGGAGTCTGCCCAGGCGGCAGCGGCCAGGCTCCGGGAACAGCTGTCTGAGTGCCAGCGGGAGCTGCGGGCCTCGCAGAGGCTCCTGCAGGAGCAGGTGCAGGAGCAGGCTCGGGAGCGCGAGGACTTCCTGGGCCAGCTGGAGGCTCAGAGGCGCGAGGCGCAGCGCTGCCAGGCATCAGCCAAGCTCTTGGGAAGGTGACGGGAGCCCAGGCCGGAGCCAGCAGGGTGGGGCCAGGCAGGGGCAGCCCCAGGGCGAGGCAGTGGTAGGAAAGGGCCACACCTCCCAGACAAAAGTGCTCTTGGCTGGGCCACCTCCTCTCACCCACCCACCCCTCTGTCCACCCTGGGTGGTGGGACTGAGGAGCGTGTGGCATGAAGCCCCAGGGCCTATTTGAATCTTGACTGAGAGGCTCTGCAGGGCTTCCCGAAACCAAATCCATACGTGGCTCTGGGAAGCAGGTTGGATGTGGCCCAGGTGTGGGTCGGCAGGTCAGAAAAGCTTCCCTGCTTGGGAGCAGAGTCGACGCCCCACCCTGTCTCACCCCCACGGGCCCTTCCTGGTTGCTCCTCTAAGGGGGCTGCAGCGTGCTGGGTGCTGGGGCAGGACACAGACGATCCTGACCTTGAGAGGTGCGGGGGTGGGGGGACAGAGACGCCAGTGGATCAGTTCAGGCTCCTCCTTCCCCCATGTGTCCTGGGGCCACCCTGACCTCTGACCATCTGCTCCCAGGGAGAAGGCAGCTCTGGAGATGGTGGTGGAGGAGCTGAGAGGGAAGGCGGACATTTCGGATGCGGAGAAGCAGCGGCTGGAGGCCGTGAACTGGGAACTGCAGAGCAGCCTCCTGCTGTGGGCGGAGCAGAAGGCAGGGCTGGAGCTGCAGGGCCAGTGGGGCCTCAGGGAGCTGGAGAACAGGTGGGCTGGCAGGGGGACTGCCAGCAGGCGTGGGCCTGACGGGGCAGGCAGGGGTCCCTCGCAGGAGAGGCTGCATGCCTCAGGCCGTCGTGTCCCCTCCCTGGGCCTCAGTGTCCTCATCCACTAAGTGGGACAGTTTCCTCACCATCTCGTCCCCTGGGGTTCGGTGGACCTGAGGAGGCAGCAGGGCAAAGGGCTCTCCAGGCCCCTCCGCAGTCCGCGTAATAACTTCGTATAGCATACATTATACGAAGTTATACGAAGTGTGTGTGAATGTGTGTGAGGTGTGAGTAGGGCCTCCCCGTCCCCAACCAGTGAGCACCGGCCTCACCCCTGACTGCTCCTAAGTCAGGGGTGCTTCTAAGTGGTCTCTCCCTGGCCTCTGGTCTCCTCTTCTGGCTGGAGCCTCAGCACCCAGGGCCACCTGTACCCAGAGGCCTCCCCTGGTGGGAATCCTTCCCCCATGTCCCACCCAGGGCTCTGGCTCGCACACCTCCACAATGTGGGGCTCACTCCCTTCCCAGGAATCTGCAAGTCCTTCACTGGCATCCCCTTGGGGTGGCCTCTGCCCCCCTTCCCTACCGCAGGTCAAGTCCAGCAACACTGACCTGGAGCTGCTTGTGTCGCAGCTGAAGTCGGAGGGGGTGGAGCAAAGGGACGCCCTGGCCACGATGGCCACCCTGATGGAAGGACTGGCTCAGGACAAAAGCAGCCTGAACCACCTGGTCCTCCAGGTGAGGCGAAGGCCAGGTGGGCAGGCCTCGCCCTGAGCCTCAGATCCCCCAGGGTGGCTGCGAGACTCCACACTGGCCCTGGGGTCTCCCTTTCATCCGTCCACTCCTGGATGTGTCCCACCCTCCCTGAGAGCATGTTTTGGGGAGAGGATGAGGGAGCCTGAGCAGCCCTGGCCAGACCCAGGGGTGAGCAGGCAGTGCCCACTGGGAAAGGCCTGGCTGGGGGGCCAGCCCACGGGGGCTGAAGGTGGGTAGTGTGTGGGCTGGATGCAGAAACCACCCCTCCCCTCCACACGTCAGCTGGAACAGGAGCGGGATCAGCTGCAGGAGCAGCAGAAGGTGCTAGAGCAGGAGCAGGCCGGTGCCCGGGAGCAGCTGGCACGGGCGGAGCATCAGCTGGAGTGCATGCGGGCGGAGCGGAGGGGCCTGCAGCAGGCCTGCCGGAGCCTGGAGAAGCGGCAGGAGCAGCTGGAGGGGCAGGCAGCCCTGCTGGAGAGCGAGAGGGCCCAGCTCCGGGAGCAGGTGGGCCAGGTGAGGACATCTGCGCAGACTCCTGCTGCCCTGAGCTGTGGACGGGTCACAGGTCATGTGTTGCTCACTGTGCCTTTGGAAGTTGTGTGGGCTCAGGATGCCAGCACTTTCTGACGGGTGCCAACTGACTTGGCTTGATTCCAAATCCAGCTTCCCGGGGCCAGGGGCACAGGCAGCAGAGGGGTACGTGAAGAAGATGTACGTCTGGCCCATCCTCCATGTCCAGGGTCAGGGTTCCGCCCTCCTCAGACGACCCCAGGCCTCGGCCCAGCGGCTCCTGCACACGCGGCCCTCACAGGGATTTGCTCCCTGCTTTGTCTCGTTTCTCCCTGGCCCGCACCCCCACTAGTTCCTTCCCACCCCTCTGCCTTTTGTGGAGGGTGCGACTCAGTGCGGCGTGAAACTGAAGCAGCTTGGGTTTTCCCGTCCCACTTTGCTCGTCTGCATGGAAAACCCCATCCCTGCTGAGCCTCAGGGCCCCCGCAGCATTCAGACCCCACAGCCCCGCCACATTTGGAACAGTATGACCTCTTTCCATTTGCAGACTCTGTCCTGTCCCTGCCCTGTCCTTTTTTTTTTTTTTCTTTTGTCATCTTTTCCCTCTATTTTTTATTGAAGTGTAATTGACCGTCAGTACGTCAGTGCACAGTTCAGTGAGTTTTGACAGTCGTATGCACCTGTGTGGCCTCCACCACGCTTGAGATACAGAGCATTCCATCAGCCCAGCAGGTATCCCAGCCCCCGGGCAGCCTCTGTCCCGATCTGCAGCACCACCGTGGGCTGCTGTCACCTGCCTTAGAACTTCTTGGAAAGGCAGAAGCCATACAGTCTGGACTCTTTGGTGTCCAGCTTCTCTCCCTCAACACGTCTTTGCAATTCATCTTGTTGTTAAGTGTATCAGCAGCTCTTTCTTTTTTAGTGCATAGTCATATTCCATGGCATGAACACCGCGTTTGCTTACTTATTCGCCTGTGCTGGACTTGTGCATTGTTTTCAATGCAGGGCTACAGTGAACAGTGCTGCTACGAAACTTCATGTGCAAATTCATATACAAATATTTTCATTTTTCAAGAGTAAAAACATGTGAGCAAAACAGGTATGTGTTGAACTTTACAAGAAACTACCAAGCAGTTTTCCAAAGTGGCTGTGTCATTTCCCTCTGCTGCCAGCAGGGTAGCAGAGTTCCAGTTTCTCCTTGGCCTTGCCAACCTTTGGTTTTGTCTGTTTTTAACATTTAGCTGTTCTGTGTGTGTGAAGTTATATGTCACTGAGGTTTCAGTTTGTGTTGCCCTGATAACTAAAGATGTTCAGCACATTTTCATGTGCTTATTGGTCATTCATATGCTTCATTTTGTCAAGTGTCTGTTCAAGTCTTTTGCCGGCTTTTTATTGGGTTTTCGTGTTTTGGTGATGGATACATAGGAGTTCGTGTACCGTGGATAAAGTACTTTGTCCTATAGGTATACTGTAAATATTTTCCCAAGTTTGTAGCTCGCCTATACTTTTTCTTAATGATATTTTTGATGGACAGAAAGTTCTAACTTTAGCAAAGTCCAGTTTACCAATTTCTTTTTTAATTTTATGATTAGTAACCTAGAAAGGTTCTGAGAAATTTTTGCCTAACCCAAGGACATGAAGACATCCTCCTGTCTTTTCACTTGGCTCTCACGTTTAGGTCTGAGATCCACTTCCAGCTCATCTTTGTGTGTGGCGGTGGTTCTCCAAGTGCGCTCTCCTCACAGGCAGCATAAGCTTCACCTGGGGACTTGTTAAAAATGTAAATTCTTGGGCCCCACCTCAGACCTACTGAATCAGGAACTCTGTGGGTGGGACCTAAAAATCTGAATTTTAATTAACCCTGCGGGTGATTCTGATGCACACGAAAGTGTGGGAACCACAGGTGCATGGTCGGAAGTAGAAGTTAAGGTGCATTATCTTTCACACTAATATCCAGTTGTTCCAGCACTATTTTTTGAAGACTTTCCTTTCCCCCTTAAATTACCTTGGCAACTTGTTGAAGAAAATGGATCATATATGTGGGACTCAGTGGTCTGTACAAATCACTCTATTTATTCATTCTTTCACTGAAACCACGCTGTCTTGATTACCATAGCTTTTTAGTAAGCCTTGAAATCGAACACCGTGAGTGCTCCCGCGTTGCTCTTTCTTCAGTGTCATTTTGGCTGTTCTAAATCCTTTGCATGTCCGTCCACATTTTAGAATCAGATTGTCAATTTCTACCCCTCCCCCTCAAAACAAGCCAGCTAGGATCTTGATTAGGATTGCAATGAATTTATAGATCCATTTGAAGAACCTTGACATCTTAACTATATGGAGTTTTCTGCCCATGACTGTGGTTTCTCTTTCCATCTCTTTCTTCATTTCCCTCGGGCATATTTTGAATTTTCAGTGTAGAGGTCTTTCACATCCTTGATAAGATTCACGCCTAGCTCTAATGCTGTATATCACATTACCGTTTGAATTCATTTTCCTATTGCTCATCTCCAGCCTATAAAAATACAATTTCGTATATTTACTTTGAATCATGCGATCTTGACAAGTTTGCTTATAACTACTAGAGTTTTACATGTATGAGGGGACTTCAAAAATTTTGTGGAAAATATAGTTGGAAGATAATATGGATCTTTCCATGAACTTTCTGAAGTGCCCTCGTATATAATCACATCATCTGTGAGTAACAAGAGTTTTACTTCCTTTTTTAAATCTCAATACCTTTTCTTTCTCTTTTTCTTATTGCACTAAAACCTGCAGAACAATGCTGAATACAAGTGGTGAGGGCGTCCACCCTCCCACGGAACCCAGTCGTGAGGAAAGTATTCACGACGTCACCGTTCAATACGATGTTATCTGTAGGCTTTTCATAGATGCACTTTATCGGATTGAGGAAGTTCCTTTTCATTCCTAGTACACTGAGATTTTTTTAAATCATAGATGGGTATTGAATTCTGCTAAATCCTTTTTCTGCATCTATTAATATGATTATATCATTGTTCTTATTTTGTTAATGTGGTGAATTATATTGGTTAATTTTTTGGATATTAAACTAACCTTGCATACCTGAGATAAACCCTATATGGTCATAAGTTAGTATTCATTTTATGTATTTTGTGACTCAATTTATAATATTTCATTAAGCATTTATGCTTCTATATTCATGAAAAAAATTGGTTTGTAATTTTCTTTTCTTGTAACATCTTTATCAAATTTAGAGCCAGGGTTATGCTGGCCTCATAGAATAAGTTGGAAAGTGTTCCCTTTTCCTCTGTTTCCTGAAAATGTTTGTGTAAAATTGGTGATATTTCTTCCTTAAATGTCTGGTGGAATTCACTAAGGAAGTCATTTGAGTCTGGAGATGTCTTTGCGGGAAGGGGTTTGATAAAGAATTCAGTTTCTTTGACAGATATGTAATCTATTCAGATTTCCTATTTGTTCCTGTATCTGTTTCTTCTTCAACATTCTAATAATTTTGCATGCTATGCTTTTATTGTCATTCAGGTCAAATTATTTTCTGATTTTCCATGTGATTTCTTCTTCAAGCCATTAATTATTTAGACACATATTGCCTCACTTCCAAATATGAGGATTTTCTAAGTATCTAATTGTTATCAATTTCTAATATAATTCCATTGTGGTCAGAAAACATATTCCATATTATTTGAATGGATTTAAATTTATTGAGGCATGCCTTATGGTCCAGCCTGTTGTCTATCTTGTTGAACATTCCATGTTCATGTAAAAAGAATGTGTATTATGCTATTCTTGAGTGTAGTGTTCTATTAATGTCAATTAAGTCAAATTGTTTGATAGTGTTGTTTAAATCTATATCCTTTGTTTATTTGTTTGTTTGGTTGGTTGTTTTTGTCTACTAGTTCTGTCAACTACTGAGAGAAGGACATTAAAATCTGTATCTATGATTACAGAATTGTCTATTTCTCCCTTTAATTCTGTTAATTTGTGCTTTGTGTATTTATAATTCCTATTATTAGGTGCATACACGTTTAGTATTTTAAGTCTTCATGGTTAATTGGCTTATTATCATAACAAAATGTTCCATCTTATCCACTTCTTATCTCTAGTAATACTCTTTTACTTGATATCTACTTTTTTGATATTGATATAGCCACACCAACTTTCTTATTCTTAGTGTTTCCATGGCATATCCTTTCCATACATTTACTTACAACTTCTCTGGTTCTGTTTATTTAAAGTGTGTTTCTTAGAAAAAGCACATTGTTGGTTCTTGCTTTTATATTTACTCAGACAGTCTCTACTTTTTAATTAGAATGTTTAGACCATTTACATTTAATGTAACTGTTGATATGCTTCATTTAAGTGTTCTATCTTGATATTTGTTTTCTATTTGTCTTGTCTTTGAAAAAATATTTACATTCCTATTTTCTGGCCTCCTTTTGGATTAGTGCCATGTTTAATTAGTATTCCATTTTATGTTCTCCATTGATTTTTTAAAGTTAAAATTCTGTTCATTTTTTTTAGGATACTCTAAAATTATGCACAGTGTATATACAAATAATATATTACTTCAAAAATAATTTAAGACACTTACAACAACATATTTCATTTACTTCTCGTTATGGCTTGAATGTGTCTCCTCTAAAGTTCAGGTGCTGAAACTTAGTGGTCAATTGTGTTAGCATTAAAAACTGGGGCCATTAAGAGGTGATTAGGCCATGTGGGCTCTTCCTTTGTCAGTGGGGTTAAGGCTCTTATGACTTATGCAGCATTTGTCTCTCAGTTGCCCATCTGCCTTCTACCATGTGAGGACACAGTGTTCCTTCCCTCTGGAGAATGAAGCATCAAGGCACCATCCTGGAAGCAGAGAGCAGCCCTCACCAGACACCAGACCTGCTGGTGCCTTCATGTAAACTTCCCAGCCTCTAGATCTGTGAGAAAATAAATTTTTTATAAATCACCCAATCTCAGGTATTTTGTTGCAGCAGCACAAGTGGACTAAGACATCCCTCCTATTCTTTTTCCTCTTGTTGCTATATATTTTATTTCTGTGTACATTGTTACAAAGCCTACAATAGGTTATTAATATTTTTTGCTTTTTATATGGTCATTTTAACACATCTCTTTCTCTCTCTCTCTCTCTCTCTCTCTCTCTCTCTCTCTCTCTCTCTCTCTCTCTCTCTCTCTCACACACACACACACAAATATATACACATTTCAGTTATCTGGTGAAATTCTCCATTTTCTTGGGTATGTTCTTGGACATATTAATTGCAATATCTTTCATGTCTTTGTCTGATAACTCCAACATCAGTATCCACTAATGGGTCTCTTTCTATTATCTTTTTTTAATATTTTTGTTTTCAGTCTCTTGTTCTCATCTCCTGGTATGCTTAATAATTTTTTATTGAATGACAGACTTTGTGTTTTTGTAGATACAATTTATAGAGATAATTTGAGGCTCTGAATGATACAGACTTCTTCCAGAGAGAGTTTGATTTTGACTTTGTGAAACTGGATTAGGGTGAGATCACCTTTATTCAGCATGGGAGTTAGCTGGTTTGTAACTGCATTTCATTTGTTGCTGCTGCTGTTGTTGTTTTGAGGAGTGGTCTGTTTTTGGTTTACCTCAGGCTATAACATAACTCTCCTATGATCCTAACTAGAAGTCTTGGGTGTTTACCAGAGCCCCTACTCTTTGGTTAGCCTTTAAAATCAGATTTTGTTTTCTCAGTTCTATAAGACTACCGAAAGTTCCATCTGACCCAACTTCCCAGACTCTCAGCTGCCACTTTTTGTTCAGATACTTAGTCCCTTGGCCTTATTCTGCTTGTGAATTATAAAAACATATATTTTAAAAAGCAGTACCACTAAAAAACCCCAATACAGAATATCAGGCTTACCTCAGGGCATTTCCTTCATCTCTGGTATTTTAGTCTCTCATGCTCTGGCTGCTTTGGTAGCTCTGAATTCCATGTTTGTCTCCTTGGTCTCATAAGCCCGCTGAAATCTTAGGCCTAGTTCCCAGCCATTTAGCTAATGCTTTATCCTTGGCTCCTAAAACTCTAGGCCTGGTGCCACTTAGGATTTGGCAAATGCCTCAAGGAGGGATAATCTTATGTAGAACTTTGGGCTCACTTTAATACACTGTCTGTAATCTGGTGCCCCTGCCTTGGTTTCTCTGTAATGCCTTCAAACAGATTATTCGGGAGTTATATTGTACAACTTTTCTAGTTGCTCTAGGTAAGAGGGTTGATCCTCAACAATCTACTTCACCATGACCAGAAGCAGAAAGTCCAGGTCTTTACTTTTAAAGAATTCATGGGCCGAGCCCGTGGTGCACTCGGGAGAGTGCAGCGCTGGGAGCACAGCAGCACTCCCGCCGCGGGTTCAGATCCTATATAGGGATGGCCAGTACACTCACTGGCTGAGCGTGGTGCAGCCGGTCTCAAAAAAGACAAAAGAAAAAAAAAAGAATTTTTTTTTTTTTGTGACCGGTAAGGGGATCATAACCCTTGGCTTGGTGTCGCCCGCACCGCCTGATATTGTGTTGATTAAATGCAAAATATCATATATAAAAAAATAGAAATAATTTGAGAATCTTGATGATGCTATTCTTCCTCCAGAGAGGATTTACTTTTGATTCTGGCAGGCAGGGAAGGTAGGAGATGATCACTGTAAACCAATCAGTGATTCAGGTGATTTACACCTGAGCTTCAGTTTTTATAAGGGATGGTCTATTGCTGACTCACTGCTACTACTAGAGTCAAGCTCTTCTGTGAACAAAGTGTGAAACCTGGAATGTTTATCAGGGCCCCTCCTTTTTGGTGGCTCTGAACTCCAGTTTTTATACCCCTAAGGCCATGGTATTGCCAGAAGCTCTCCTTGGCATCTCAGTTTCTCAACCAAAACTCTTAAATCAGCAGATGCTTTGGGGACAGCAGAGACACCACATGGTGGGCTCACTCCTCTATGTTTCTCGTCTCTCTAAGATCTTGGCTCCTTCAGTTCCAGCTGCCTTTGCAGTGTTCTGAGGCCTCATACAGACTCCTGTGACACTTTTGTCTAGATTTCTGTGATATTCTTGGTGGAAATGTTGGTCCGTAACAATCTAACCCTCTGTTACCTTCTATTGCCATTTCTATGCAGTGTTTCCTACCCCCTGGACACTTGTGGTCCAACAGAAGCTACCATTTAGATTGTCAGTCAGCTGCTACCTGGGAGTGCCCAGCTCCATAACATCCCCATCATGGCTACAGAAGTGGACATACCCTCTATTGTAAAAACACCTATGTGCACTTCTGAGGTCCACTGTGTCTTCTGTCCACCCACCTTTTTCAATTTCATCTCCATGCCATTCTGCATGGAAGCACTTCTGAAGTCCTTCCTTTCACTCAGGAGGCCCCTCCTCACCCTCCCACTCACTCTCTGTCTCTGCTAGACTGTGCCCTTCCCTCCCCAGGTCACAAACAAGAAACAGGCCCTGGAGGAGCAGCTGGCACAGAGCCTGCAGGACCAGGAGGCCCAGATGGACACTCTGAAGCAAGCTCTGCAGGAGAAGGATGCTTTGTCTGAGGAACGGGCCCAGCTACTGTCCAAGCAGGAGGCCCTGGAGAGGCAGGGCCAACTCATGGCTGAGGAGGCAGCTGGTCTCAGGTACCCATGGGCCTGCCAGTCAGAGCATGTCCCATGTGGCCTCACCTCAGAGACCCTACAGTGTGGTGGGGGTGGGGGAACACCCCCACACTGACACAGGGCAGGACAAGTGTGTCTGTGCATGTGAGATGGGCTGTGAGTGAGGGGCAAGCACAGTGCCTTTGGGGTGAGGAGAGCATCTAGAAGAGGCGAATCCAGTGAGAACCCTGGGGTCACCTTGTGACAGAGATGGGGGCAAGTAGCAGAAACCCAGCTCAGACCACTGGAAGGAAGACATGGCATGGAATGTCTTGCTTATGGATATGAGAAGTTCGGAGTGATTCAGCTTCAGGCAAGGCTGGAACCAGGCACTCCCACAGAGCCCTCAGGATCCTGCCTTTCCCTCCCTCAATGCTGTTTGACTCTGAGGAGATTTCATTCCCAAGAAGACTCACCCTGAGAGGTGGCAAAGTAGCCAGTAGCGACTCCAGGGTCCTTCCTACAGCAGACAAAGATCAGCCTTCTCCCCACATGGACCGATAGCAGCTGCCAGCAACCATCATGACCTACCTGACGTCCCTACACCAGCCCTGGGAGCCAGGAGTCACAGGGCTCTGATGGCCAAGACCAGGTCCCATGCCCATCCCTAGAGCCAAGGGCAGGATCATCCCCAGGGAACCACAAGGCAGAGTGCGGCCACAGTGAGCCCCCAAGACCATTGGGGGCAACTTCCAAAAGCTGGAATAGGCACTTCTAGGCAAGAACAAGGGTGCTCCGTAGGCTGTTGCCTGGCGAGCTGAACTGGTCTTGAGGCCTCTGCAGAAATCCCAAAGCCAGTGGCTTTCTGCACCTCATGGGCCCTTCTCAAGAACACCTAAGTATTTTTGTAGAACATCTTTCCTCCTGGAACTCCAGAATCAAGGGGCCATGAGAAATCTTGGAGTCCCAGATCCTTGAACTTCTTCACAGACAGACCCCTCCTGCAAATGAAAGCTGGCACAGAAATGACAACAGAAAAGCCAAGGAGGCTTCTCTGGGCTGGTGGGAGCAGAGGGGTCCTGGGCCCCAGGGGCTCAGAGGACCAGAGACTGGAGGCTCCTTTCCTCCCTGCGGTGTCTGCTGCCAGAACACAGACGCCCTGGCTGGAACCCTCAGCAGCCTGGGACCCTGTCCCTGTGGTTCCCCTGGCCTCCGCCCTGACTACTGGACCCAGTGTCTCTGGCTGTACAGTCCCCAGACAGTCATAGCTGGTGTGCATTGTTCCAGGAGTCTCCTGAGCGATTGCGTCTGTGTGCACAGACAGAGCAAGGCAGCTTTCTACATCACGGAAGCAATCTGCGTGCAAAGCTCTAATTTGGCAGGCTGCTTTTGGCGGTGACTCCTTTCATGGCAAGAGAATACAGTCTCCCTGTCCTTGTTAACGACTGCATAGTGCTCCAGAGACAAGATGCACCCTAATTTCAAGAACATTCTCCCATTTATTGGCACTTCAGCCGAGTCCAATTAATGCCCTGTGAAAAGCTGCCGTGGGCACATGTGCTTCTGTAGAACTGATGCCTACAAGTGGACTTGCTGGGTCAAAGATATGCACACTCTAAGTTTTGCAATTTCCCCACCCTCGCACCAAAAATGGCCCTCACAACCTTGCCAACACAGGATACCGTCACTGTTTTAAGCTTTTGCTAATCTGATGCACAGTTGGGATTTGAATCTCCCTGAGCACTAGTGAGGTTAAGCAGGTTTCATGTGTTTTTTAGCCATTTCTGTGTTCTTTGTGAATAACAGCCTTTTTCTCAGTTTTCTGCAGGGTCAGCTGACTCTGTCATTGATTGGTAGGAGATGTTTGTACATGATGGACAGTAATGCTTTGCTTGTGTATTTAGTGCAGATTTTTCTCCAACTTGGTCCCTTGTCTTTTAAGTTGGTTTGCAGAATCTTTTCTGCAGAAAAGTGTATCTCTTTAAGTGTGTTTGGATCTGTCAGCCTCTTAACGTTTGTCTTCTGGCTTTTGTGTCTTACTTAAGAAGATGATAAAGCGCTCATCTGTATTTTTCCTACTATTTTTGTAGCTCTGAGTCGTTCTGTTGTTACTTCTTTGTTTTATTTCAGTTTTACATTTAGCTTTTTATTCCACCTGAAACACACTTTTGTGAAGGGTCCAGTTCATTCTTAGGGATTTGACATGAGCGAGGCCCCCGTGGCTTTTCTGACTTTCTACCCCAGCCTGGGCCCTGCACCAGTCCTCGCGGGCAGGACCACGTGGGTGACTTGCCTCTTGTCTGATGCTCCTCTGCAGGGCCGAGAGGGACTCTCTGGAGAGCAGCCTCTTTGAGGCCCAACAGCTGGTGTTGCAGCTGCAGGCTCAGCAGGAACAGCTGGAGGGACAGGTCCAGAGCACACGGCTCGCTCGGCAGGCCCTGCAAGGTGCCCCCGCAGGTGGACCCTTTGCTCCTCCCCTCTGAGTCAGCTGCAGAAGGACCCTTTGAATGGAGCTCAGTCCCCAGACGTGCTGCTCCCACTCCCCAGACCCCAAAGGTGCACGAACATGGGCCTGGAGCTCATGTGGCTGAACGAGCCCCTTGCCTACGAGGAGGAGGCGGGTGCCCTGCTTTCGGCATCTGGTGTTGGCCCAAGGCTCACAGCTGGTCAGCGTGGTGGTCTCTTGCCCCACTCCCTGTGCCCTTGCTCCTGCCCAGCCCCCTGCCGTGTGCTAGCCACCCAGCCCTGAGCCCGGCCACAGGCAGAGCAGGTGGCCGTCACTCCACAGGGAGCTCACAACGGCCGCTGGGGTTTCTAGTGCACAGCCCTGCGGCCAGTCCCCGACACGCCTGTCACTTCACAGGGGAAATGGAGCAGCTGAAAAGTGACTGGGAGGCCCAGGAGACGAGGCTGCAGCAGGACGTGCGGCGGCTCCAGGAGCAGGTGATGCAGCGGGAGCAGCACACACAGCTGGCCCTGGAGCGCCAGGCGCTGGCCCACCGCGAGGACCTGGCGCGGCTGCAGGGGGAGAAGGTGTGCTTCCCAGGGCCCACCTGGCTGCTTCCCGGGATCTACCATGTCCTAAAGAATGTCAGACCCCTGGTGGGAGGGGCCCGAGGAGAGGGCAGGGGAGGGCGCACTGGGGACCTGCTCACTCTTTACAGTTCAAGTGGTGGCCCGGGGCCTTCGCCAGGAAAGTCCTCACGATGCGCATGCATGCAGGGTGGGCTTCGCCCTCATAGACCTGGCTTCAGCCTGAGGGCCACGGTAGGAGAGGGCAGGGGAGGGCGCACTGGGGACCTGCTCACTCTTTACAGTTCAAGTGGTGGCCTGGGGCCTTCGCCAGGAAAGTCCTCACAATGCGCATGCATGCAGGGTGGGCTTCGCCCTCATAGACCTGGCTTCAGCCTGAGGGCCACGGGCCAGAGGGGGCCTCATCCCCCATCTGAGCCGTGCTGGTCACAGGCTCCTGCAGGCTTCACATGCTGGTGGCACACTGTAGAGGCTCAGGAGGGTTTATGAACTGTTAGGTGAGTGTGGGATGGTGGATGGCGAGGCACAGAGAGGCCCTTCCCAGCTCTTGCTTCTATGCACCTATCAGGGAGACAGGCTGAGGTGGGGGTGGCGGGAGACAGGCTGGCTCTGATGCCCTGGGTGGTCCCATGAGCAGTCTCACCTGCTGTCTCACGTGCCCTGACGTCACAGCCTGCCCTTTGCCTCGGCCCAGGAGACCCTGAGGTTGTCCCTGGCAAGGGAGAAGGAGGCTGCCTGCCGGCTGGAGCAGGAAAAGGCGCTGGTGGCAGCAAGTGCAGCCGAGAGGGAGGCTCTGCGGGTGGATCAGGACGAGCGCCTCCTCCGGCTGGAGCAGGAGATGCAGCAGGTGAGGACCACCAGGAGGCAGCGGGCCCAGCACAAGGGCTGCGTGGGGGCCGCCTCGCCCGGTCACTGCTGTTGCAGCTCTGGTCTTCCACAGCAGTCCTGGTGGACAGACATCCACCCCCCAGTTCACCTGAACATCCGTCCAGCTGTCCATGCACCCGGCCATCCGGCACTCGCCTACCACTTACCTGTCCAGAACTCACCCCGGCAGTTATTGGCCCCCTGACCATCCATCCGTCCATCCCCCTAAACATCCTTGCATCTGTCCTCACACTCAGCTGTCCGTCCACATACCCAAGCAGCCATCCATTTGTCTGAATTCTCCATCCACCTGGTCAGCCAGCCAGTCGTCCAATCATCCACCAACGTATCCACCAACTCACCTGGCCACCAGTCCAAGCACACGACTGTCGCCCACCCGCCCACCTGACCATCCTGCCGGCCCGCAGGCTGTTGGGGCTCAGACGCGGGGCCTGTAGAAGCCACCTGAGTCCAGGCTTTGCCGGCAGACTGTGCCGGCCTGAAGAGCTCACTGTTGAGTGGGTGGAGCAGACACGTAAACACACCTGTACGTGTTGTCACACAGTGTGTGTGATGAGCACGGCAAGTTGTCGATACACATTGTAACCCGCAAGGGAGGAGTGGCCGTAGCTGGAGCAGCCAGGACTCTGTGCTGCTAACTTGACCCTCGCAACACTCGGGGCTCCGTGCTCCTACTACCCCCATTTTACTGGTGAGGAAACCAAGGTCCACAGCCATCGAATCCCTCGGGCAGTTGGCACAGGACCCCTGCTGGGCGTGTCCCATGCTCTCAACTGCCCCTCTACTCTGCATCCTGAGACAGAGGAAGCAAGTGCCTCGAAGGGGAAGAGGAGGCTCCAGGTGGGGGCATCGCGGCATGTCAGGATGGCGTGCAGTGCAGCTGCCGGAGTCGGGGCGGCGAGGAGGGTGCAGAGAGCCAGGAAGGGCCTCACACACCAGGGGCAGCTGGCGGGAAGCCAGCGGGTGTTCTTGAGCAGGGATGATGTGATGCTGCTTGCTCGGAAGAGAGGCTGGAGCCAGGAGCATGGGGAGTGGCCACGGGCCAAGCCAGAGCCAGGCAGAGGAGGACGGGTGCATCCAAAGACCCCTGGAAGGTGGCGGGAGAGTCTCAGGGGGGCAGCACAGCTGGGAGAGTGGGCGGGCGGTCGGGGTCCCCATGCAGCCCCCTCACTCCCGTCCAAGACCAACACCGGGCCACCTGCCATTCTCATGAGGCCACATTGCAGCTTCCAAATATCACACACAGCCCCAAGAGTGGGACTTCGTCATAGAGGAGAGCAGGCTGAGATGGCAGAAAGATGTCACCTGCTCATGGCCTTCCCTGGACCACAGCATGACAATGGTCAGTCATGGCATGGAAGGCCAGGCCTGTGGGCAGTTGTTGCCGGTGCAGCAGGTGGGCTTTCTCTGGACCCCGCCTGCCCTGCCAGCTGCCCTTCGTTTCAGGTGGCCTGTGCAGAGAGGGGACCCAATGTGCAAATTCCGCAAGCTTCCCTGAGGACACTGTGATGTCCTCAGTCACAAAACAGTCTTCCAGAGACTTTACTTCTATAACAAAGAGAAGTTCTGTGTGGAGCAAGAATCAAAGAAATGGAGCGTCCAGCCCAGGAGGGACTGTTTGCATGTCCATCATCTGGTCGCGCCTCCTGGGTCTGAAGTGTGACCACCCACACCTGTCTGCAAAATGAAGCCCTTGCCCAGTGGATGCCAAACTTCTATCTTGGATGATGTTTTCCTAAAATTTGAACAAATGCTTTGCTGCTGTGTCCGCTAGTGAGGGTCACAGAGGGAGACACAAGGCCTCGCCCTGAGAGACCCTACAGTCCTGCGAGGGTGGTAGGTCTGTAAAGAGCTAACAGTACCTCAGGCAGAACCACATGAGCATGGACTCAAGGGAGGGAGAAGACCGAGGGGGGTGCTGACTTTTTTAATTGTTTAAAATATAGAAAGGCATTCAACGAAGAGTGTCCCCTGTTCCTGCTCTTCACGTCCCCTGCTCCTCAGGGAGCCACCATATTCATGTTTACCTCTCTGCAGTGCTGCAGTGCAGTTCCGACACTAACTCCCCTGAGTTTGCACAGCCCCTCAAGACTGCCATTGGTGCAGACACCAGCTGCAAGTTCAGGGCCCTCCCAGCCACCCACACTTCTGACCAGCTGAGCACACGTTTGGGGGTTTCCATGATCCCCTTGGGCTCAATAATTCATTAGAATGACTCACAGAACTCAAAAGAGCACAGTACTTACTATTACAGTTTTACTATAAAGGATATAAATCAGGACCAGCCATAAGAAAAGACACATAGGATGGGGTCTGGGCAAGTCCCAGACACAGAGCTTCTGTGCCCTCTCCCTGTGCAATTAGTGTGATGCTGTCCCAGCTCTCTAATGTGCACACCCACCAGGAAGCCCCACTGAGCACTGGTGTCAGAGTTTTTATTAGAGTTTCACTACATAGCATGTGATTGAAGTAAGTTTCTAACCCCCCTCCCCAGAGGCTGGGAGGTTGGGCTGATATCCCAGGGCTCAAAGCCCCAGCCCCCTAATCACATGGTTGGTCTTTCAGGCATGGACAGCCCCATCCTGAAACCATGAGTCAGCTCATTAGCATAATCTCAGGTGCACTCCCAGGGCCGACCATGAACAGCACAAACACTCCTCACCTGGGAAATTCCCTCCCAGGATCCAGAACAAAGACCGGATAAGTCTCTTATGATGCAATATCCTCCCAAAGATTACTTGCAAACAGAAATGTATAGTGTTATCCCCACTCCCCACCTTGTTAACACAAAAGCCATAAAAAGCCATGCCATCTCCTGGGCCTTTCTTTTCTCAGTTCTCACTGTATTTTGGAGGTCTTTCCACATCCGTGTTCTCAGAGCTTCCTTTTTCTTTTTCACGGCTGTGTGATGTCACGGCTGTTGGGGACACAGATCCTCACTGGTTTTGCTGGTATCTCGGTGGTCATCTGTGCTGCCTGTGGCTTTGTTGCTGTTACAATGTTATAAACAATCACTGATGATGCTGAGCATAGGTCATGCCACGTGTGCACACACGCATCTCCAGGCTGCCCTCCCCCACGTGGGCCTGGGCATAGTGAGAACGTGCATTGTGACTTTGATGGGCTTTGCCAACCCTCTTCCACCTTCCACAGACTTGCCCCAGAGCAGACTCCACCCTTGGAGTTGGTGGGTGGCATGTGCATCCCCCATACCATCAGCAAGGTGGAGCATCTGGGGTGTTTAAGGACCATCAGTGGTTCCTTCTCTGTGCACTGTAGGAAGCGTTGCCTGGAGGGAAGGGGGAAGGTGGTTCATGAAGCCCCCTGACCTGTGCTGGGAAAGAGCAGGATTTTGTAGGGTGCAGGATGGGGAAGGGCACCCCAGTGAGGGGCACTGCTGGAGCACAGACACGGAGGTGGGACAACGTCAGATGGAGGGGAGGGGGCTTAGGCAGTGAAAGGGCCAGGACCTGAGGGCTGCCTCTGCGGATGCTGCCCCCTCCTCAGCATCAGGGATGTGGAGACAGGAACGAGCTGTGTCTGGTAGCCTCTCCTTAAAGAGGTGGGGCGGGTGGGTCTGGCCCCTTCCCGAGCCTCCCCAGCTCTCTCACAAGCACCCCTCCCATCCAGGCCCTGTCTCTGAAAGAAGCAGAGAGGAGCCTGCTGAATGAGGAACTCTCCAGAGCCACACGGGAGCTGGAGCGTGTGCGGCAGAAGGCCCAGAGCCGGCAGGAGCAAGCCGAGGTGAGCCCCACGCCACCCAAGCCCAGGACTGGGGCCCACCTGGCCGTGTGCACAGCCCACAGGTGCTGACAGAGCCCAGATGCATCCCCTTCCTGCCTGGTCCAAGCAGCAAGTCCCCAGCATCCCCCTTTGCCTGAGCCTCAGTTTTCCCCCAGTGTGTCCAGGTCTCCTGCTTGGAGAGGACACTGTCCTGATGGGCAGAAAAGGCCACAGTGAACCAGAAGCTGTGCTCCTGGTCCCCGCCCATGACGGCAGGCCATGAGCACCGGCTCTACTTGGCCCAGATCTCCTTTGCCCCTGGGACTGGCAGAGGCCAGAGAGGGGAGGGCCTGCTCCAGTCTGGGGCCGACCATGAGCTGACCATGACGGCAGGCCATGAGCACCGGCTCTACTTGGCCCAGATCTCCTTTGCCGCTGGGACTGGCAGAGGCCAGAGAGGGGAGGGCCTGCTCCAGTCTGGGGCCGACCATGAGCTGTTCCCCCTACCCCCCAGCCTTGCCTATCTGTGCACTTGAGCTGTCGTAGCAAAGCACAGCCAGGGAAACATACGCACAAGGCCTCTTGGAACTAACTCACTGGACAGATCCCTTCCAAGGAGAAACTAAACCAGAGGAGGCTGGCACCGTACCCGAGGCAAACCCTCGGCTGGAAAGACACCCACGTTGAGTCCTCTCCTCCCCAGCCCTGGCCTCTCTGGCCCCTCTGGCTGTACACACCCAGTTAGCAGGGACTGCACCATGACGCCCGCACTGCGGCGCCTGCACCGCGACGCCTCTGCCCCTGGCCTTGGTCCTTCCAGCCCTCACCACCTTTGGTGACGATGCTGCTCATTCTGGTACTTGTTCGCTTGTTTAATCCCACGAGATCCTGTCCCATCCTGGTCCCTGGCCTGTCCCCAGCCCTGAACACAGGGTTAGATGCGTCACAGGTGCTGGATGAATGATGGCGGAAGTCAGGGAGCGGGTGCGTGCACGAAACGCGGCCCGCGTGCCAGGCCCCAGCTGCTGCGCGCCCCTCCCATGCACGGGAACCGGTCCTGCTGACTTGCATGGGAGGCGTGAGCAGGCCGCCCCGCTGGGGGCCCTGCGGAGGCCGCTGGGTTTACCCTGACCTGTAGGAGAGCTGGGGGCAGGGAGAGAGCCCCCAGGTGCTGTGTGGCAGGAAGGGTGCTGCAGTTAGGAGCCGGCTGCCAGGGTGTTTCTTCACCCCCTCCTGCCTGACGCCCCCACCCGGATCCCAGCCACTGTGAGCAGGGCAGCCCAAAGGAGCTCCTGGCACCCCAGGAGAGCCCTGCCTGGAGCTTGTCGCTGGCTCCCTGGAGCCCCCACCCCTGCTCGGTTCCCGCCCCTGAGTCTTGGATGGTCTGCGGGGCCCAGGAGGACCACACCCAGCACTGGGCTGTGCCCGTGCCCCTCCTTCCTCCCGACCCCTGGCCCTGCTGCTCCGAGGGCTCCGCCTTGTGGGCAGGGAACCAGGACAGTCCTCCTGAGACCCTGGGAGCTGAGTCCTTGGCTCGCAGGGGGCCTCCTCGGAGCCAGCACTGGCTTCCAGAGCCTTCTCTTGCACTGGCCCTGAGTCTCCCCCTGGACTTGGGACTAGGCCTGCCAGCCAGCCAGGCTCTTTGGGGAGCTCATTAAGTGTTCTTTTGCCACCTCGGCTCAGAAAGTGGAAATTAAAATCACCGAGAGGAGAGGGAAGAGAAGAATGCCAGCCAAGGAACACCAGCTGTGGGATGGCACAAAAACGAGCCGCCCGGGTGGGCACAGGGGCCTCCCGGGCTGAGTCACTGCAGCTTCCGGGGGCTCCTGGTCAGTGCCCTGTCCCCGAGGTGAGGTCCACACAGAGGTGCCCCACAACCGGACCTCACTGAGCACCCTCCGTGGGCAGTTCTGGGGCCCCACCTGGCCCAAGGGAGGCCAGTTGGTCAAGAGGGACATCAGGGGCTGGGGACGGGTAAGGCACCAGGGATGGCTCTTCTGCCAAGAGCAGGAAACAGAACCTGGCGGGAGCTCCCACCCTGGCAGTGCCCTCGGCAGTCTGCAGAATCCAGGGGGCAGGAGGGGTCTCGCAGAGACCTGGCACAGGCGCAGCCGTATGGGCACCTGTGCCTCCCTGGAACACAAAGCTGGCTCTGGAGGGGACCTGTCCTCCCACCAGCTGCCCCCTTGCATAGCCAGCTGAACGGTACAGTCCCCCAAGCCCACAGGCACTGTATCCCACTGAACCCCTCCGGCTGAGGACACTGCAGCCTCAAGGCTGAGCCCACCCTGGGCCGGCCAGGCCTGCTGCCCCAACCTGGGACCAGAGGGTGGCAGGGGGTGAGCAGGGTGGTGTCCCTGTCCAGGGATGAGGAGGTGCTTCAGGCTTCGCTGCAGGCCAAGCCCAGAGCCCATCAGCCAGAGGACCCCTGTTGAGAGTGCCCAGGAGCGAGCACTCTCGTGTAGAAGTGCTTCTGGAAGAGCAGATTTGGGCCGAGCTGGGTCCCGAATGGATGTCAGTGCTGCCTGAGCGGGGCGGTGGCAGCTGCAGGGATGGTCCCGCCCTGTGGTGCGCAGGCTGAGCCAAGGGGCACCTGCCAGGCATGACCGTGGTACTCTAACGTTTAGGGCTAGCAGGACAGTGGGCATCCCCTAATCCCACCTGTCTGTTTGACTATTCAGGAAA